AGCAGACCCTTAAATAGAGTGAGCTTGCAAATGGATTCGTGCAGCTCCCCGGAACAACCACCCGGGCTATTTCATCAGATTGAAACCAACTTTAGGGTTGTTTTGTTTTGTTTTGTTACAGAGGGCAAGAAACTAGGTCTGGTCTTTCTTGCTAGCCACGCACAGACTTTCGCGTTAGAATTTACGGCCCCAATCTCTTGGGGAGACCCTTAAATAGAGTGAGCTTGCAAATGGATTCGTGCAGCTCCCCGGAACAACCACCCGGGCTATTTCATCAGATTGAAACCAACTTTAGGGTTGTTTTGTTTTGTTTTGTTACAGAGGGCAAGAAACTAGGTCTGGTCTTTCTTGCTAGCCACGCACAGACTTTCGCGTTAGAATTTACGGCCCCAATCTCTTGGGGAGAGGAAGAATCGTTTCAGCTAACTCGTGAGCTAATTCCTGGCAGGGGGTTTATTTGGAGGGGGGCAGTTTGCAATTGCCTCCAAGCGGCAGACGGAGAAAAAAAAAATCCAAGCTGGAAGGGGGATCGCGAAGGAGGTTGTGCGCAGCGTGGTTTCAGGCTATGAAGAGAGACCAGAAAAGCGAGGCCATATTTTTTGATTGGACCGACTTCTCTTAATAGAATAGATGGCTCCTTAAAATTAAAACAAAGATCGCTTGAACTGGGGATTAAATATTTTTAATGGGCGTTTTTTAGTCTCTGCGCATAATTATTTCTTTCTCCATATGTCCCGTTGCTCACGCGTGGGCAAATCCCGAAATAAAAAGCACGTGGATATTAACAAAACACGAAACGGGGTGGGGTTTTTTGTATGTTTGGGGTTTTTACGTAAGTAATTGAAGCTCTCTACAAAACTCTTGCACCTCTGCTAGCCGCGAATGAAGAAAATGATGCGAAACTACAAATATTAACTTGAACTCATACGAGACACTTGGGAAGGCGAGCCAATAAAAGTGCCACTATTCCTTTTCTATGCTCTTTAACTGTTTGTCTCTTTGATGGCCCAATGAAAGCATCGCTGTGACATAACTGAATAATTGAATAAAAGCGAAGGGGACGACTAAATTTCTGTCCTTTATAAACAAGCTAGTGTTTCGCCCCTTCTTTTCAAACAGTTAAACAATGCTTTGTAAATATCGGTTTCGTCCCCCCGAGTCCTTCTGCGGCTAATATCACTGTATACAATGAAAACATCGCGCTGCTCAAAAGTTAGAAAACATTTCATGTTAGATCGCAGAAGGGAAATCTAGTTTCTTTAGGGGGCAAAAGCGGGCAGAATTTGGGCGGAGGCGCAAATCCAGGAAAAGGGATTGGGAAGGAGAGCCTTGGATTTGATTTGCAGCCAGTCCAGAATTTACAGCAAAGATCCCCAAAATAAAGTAGCGCGTTTGCAAAGCAACCCCTCTTCCTTCCCATTTGGAAACAGAAATGTGTCCTTCTGTCCTCCCCGACACTAAAGAAACCACAATTCGGGGGCCAACCTCCCCATGCTATTCTTATTTTTATTTAAAAAGAAACCCAAACGACGCCGCGTGGGAAAGGAGCGGTGCGAAGAGAAACAAGGCACAGCTGCCCTTTGAGACCCGGGCCCGTCCGTTTGGAAAGGGAAAATTCCCCCAACCCCAAGCGGGAAGGTCCTAACCCGGGTTACCGCAGAATGGAGTCTTTTCGGCTCTGAAATACCAGCCGGGCATTTTCTCGCATCACTTTGGGGGGTCGCTCTCCGCCTTGACAAACCCAATTACAAGTCGCCCGCTCACCCCGGAGTGATGAGCAGCGAGGGGCACTTTTAGGGTGAACTGACACCCCCCTCCGAACAGCCTCTCTCAGACAAAGGGGCTCCCCGTCAGCCCCCCCCTTTTGAATAACCCCCTTCCCCTGTTAATCGCTTTGCCCCACGCCCTGTCCCCCCTCGGAATTCCCCGGAAAGGCTACGCAGAGGGGAGGGGGGAAGCAAAGGGGATCAGGCAGTCAGCTGGCATCTGGGCACTGGGGGGAACGGAGCGGTCCCAGCCGACAAAGGCTGCTTAGTCCCCGCCAGCCAGGTTCCCTGGGGTGCGCCCCGCGCCCCTACGCGGCCCCCGAGGTTGTACTGTGCGTGGGGCAGTTAAGTGCTCGGATGCCACCCCCGCCCCAGCTCTGGCGAGCCCGCCAGGTACCTGGATGTCCTCGAGGCTGGGATGTCCGAGTCCGTGGAGGCCCAGCGGCCCGTCTCCGAGCCCGTGGCCCCCATCGGCCAGCCCGTGCAGCAGGCGGGGGACCCCCGGGTATTCCCGGCGGGGATCCAGGCTCAGCGCCCGGTGAGTCTGCGAGAGCAGTCCGGCTTCCTCCTGCCGGGCCCGCTGCGAGTGCCAGCCGGCTTGCTGGTGCTGGTGGATGGGGTTGATGGTGCTGTAGGGATCCCCCAGGTGCGGGTAGCCGGCCTCCTGGCTCTGCGAGTAGGCCATGGGGGGCTGCGGGTAGGGCGGCGGGAAGTAGGGGGGCTGGAAGTCCGAGGCCGGCGTGTGGCAGAGCGGCGGGGCCGAGGAGTAAGCCGCCTGGTTCAGGGAGGAGAGCTGGGAAAGGCGGCCGCCGGTGGAGGCCCCGTTCAGCCCATCGGGACGGTCCTGCGGAGGCAGAGGGAGAAGAAAGAGGCCGGTCAGGCGGAGCTAGGGGCCCGGCTCTGGGCGCAGAGAAAGTCCCCAAGCCCCGGGCAAAGCCCCCGGCCTGGCAGGGCCGCCACGGGGCGAGGAATCCGCTGTCCGCCCTTGGCAGGGAGAGGAGCCGCCACGCAGCGCAGCGGGACACGAACGTGGGGGGCCCCGACTCGCCGCAGATTCCTCTCCCTGGCCGGGCAGGTCCTCGCTCCAGCCTCCACTTCCCTGCTCCGCTGGGAGCTGAGGTTCATCCCCAGCCGCCCCAGCGCTGAGCGATACAGGGCGAAAGCCCTTTCCCCTCGCAGGGGCCCGGCGGTCTGCCTTCACCGCTCTGGGGGGCTCCTTGGACAAGTGGCTGGGGAGGGACTCCCCTTCCCCCCTCTCCTTCCAACTTACCATGGCGGAATAAGTGTGAACTAACATCTGTGCAGGGGGGGGGGGGACCCTGCAGGACGGTGCCAAAGTAGAGAGGCGGCGGGATAAAAGAAACCCCCGGTCGCAATCCTTTAAAATCGGGCGCAGCTCCGCAGCTCCATGGAGGAAAATCCCAGATCCAGCGGGGGAGAGCTAAGCGGGTGGCTTTGTTCCTTTAAATTACCCAAATCGCTCCGTTTCCAAGTATTTCAGATGGCTCCCATCTCCCACTCCGTCTCCCTCTGAGCCCAGACCAACTCCATGCACGCCAGTTATAGCGCCGGGCGCGCGCAGGACGCGCCGGGCGCGCGCGTTAAAGAGACAGAGCCGCTTCCCTTCGAGTTCATGGACGGGGAGACTTTGGTGTCTCTTTCTGGTTGTGGTTTTTGTTTTTTTGGTTAAACAATCACGACATTCAGGGAGAGAATCTTTTTTTAAATCGGTGTGGATTTGTCTCTCAGCCGGAGAGATTCGTTTACACTGAACGGAATCTGGATTAAAACCACATCACACACCCATCCACACACATACGCGGAGAGAGAGAATCCGTTTGGCCAAAAGGCAGTTTGCTTTTAGCGTTTTTCTTAGTGCTTTCTAAACCCCCCGCTTTTGGTCTCTTTTTCGGGGGGGCACAGAGGAGGCAGCAGAAGGAAGATCCCTAGCAAGCCAAAGGCAGCAGGGACTGTAACTCCAGACGCCTCATTAACTCTTCCTCTCATCTGGATTTGGAACCACTGGGTTGTCTCCTGCGCGGCTTTGCAGGCTCGCGGCGCCTTTCTGCGCAGCTTGCCCTGGGATCCGGATCTTGCGGTTTTGTTCCGTTCTTACACGCTCTGTGCGGAGCCCAGACTCACCGACAAAGTCCTCCCCGTTCAAGAACCAGCCCCGGGTTTTGCGGCGGGCGCCGGTGAATCCCAACCCTTGCGGCTTCCAAGCAGGCTGCAAAACTGCTTTGCATCTCTTGTTGTTTTTTCTCGAGTCCACTGGTGTCCGCAATCTCCCGCGGGCTGGTGGGGGAGGGGAGCAGAGACCGATTTCAGACGGCTGAGAGGAGGCTGGGCCGGGGGGAGGGGAGGGAAGACGCCGGGGTGGAGGTGACTCGAGGTTTAAAGGAAACGTTTGTGTTGCTCTAAGGTTTAATTTTATTAGCCCGAGCAAGGTGTTAATTTCTGTCTCGTAAGAGCAGCGCAGTTCCCAGCGGCCGCCTCGGAAATCAATCGATCCTGCTCGCCCGGCTCCCTCTGCGCCCTTTGGAAACTCACGAATGAGCGCTGGTCAGGGCGCGACTGAAAATAAACGGGCAACTTCAGCGCAGCTGCCTCCGCCAGCTGTCCGTGCGCCCAGTTCGCTCCCCGCGGGGGCACCTTTCTCCTCCGCCGCGCTCGGGTTGTCAAGAATTCTCCTCGCGTCTCAGCGCCACCGGGTCATGATTTCCCACCCTCCTTCTCCAGGGGCACCGAGGCATTTGGGTTTGCGCCACTTTCCTCCCCCCGCCCTGCTAATGAAGCTGTTTGTCTGCCCCTCTGTCTCTCTTCTATCTGGTGGGAAATTCATCTCAGTCCCCGCCGACCCTCTGCCACCCGCCCCAGCGCTGCGCTTGTTCAGAGCCTGACCCCGGGCTAGCGAAAACACGAAGCGCTCGGGGGGAGCTGGACAGGCCGGTTCCCAGCTGGAGTGAGTCCCCCACCCTTTGTGGATCCGCAGCCTGCCTGTCTGGCGGCGTGACCCGGCGAACGGGCCGGGTCCAGGCAGGTTGGGGAGCTCGGAGCAGCCTGCTCCTTCCCCCGGGAAAGTGGAGCGTTCCTGCCCCGGCTCGGGGCCAGGAGAGAGGCGTTGTCCCAGTCCTTCGCCGGCCCTAGCTCCGCAGGTGTTTCGTGCAGCAGAGGCAGGTTGCAACCCCGGCCAACGAGCGAGGGCTTGTGAGAGGCGGGCGGGGGTGGAGATGGGGGTTCTGTGTGGATTAAAACCAACAAAATCACTGTGTGGACACCCCATCCCCCACCCGGATTCCTGCCCAGCATTCGAAAGTCCTCAGCAAATTCGGAGTGATAAAGTCAGGCGAGTTCTCCGATAGGTGCCAGTTTAGCGCAGGCACCCACACGCGTGAGATCTGTGCCTTGCAACACACACACGGATCTGCACAAACAAACACACACGGATCTGTACAAAAACACACGCAGAAATCTGTGTGTACACACACGCGCGTTTGTACAAAAACACATATGGATCTGTACAAACACACGGATCTGCACACACATACACTCAAACATACACACGTAGACGTTCAAAACCACACGGAATTGTGCAAACACACACCAGAAATCTGTACAAACACACACACACAAGCGTGTTCGTACAAAAATACACACGGATCTGTGCAAACACACACAAGTATCTGCAAACACATACACAAACACACAATAGAATCTGTGTAAAAACACACAAAAAGTATCTGAACACACGCGCGCACAGATCTGCAAACACACACACACAAACAAACACATGAGTATCTGTACAAATACATACAAACAGATCTGCAGACACACATACAAGCACACGAGCGTATCTGTACAAAACCACAAACAGGGGTCTGCACACACAGACACACAAAACACAAGCGTATCTGTACAAACACAAACCCTCATTTTCACACACATACACACAAAAGCATTTGTACAAAACACACAAACGGCTCTGCACATACATACACACAAATACATAATAGAAATCTGTAAAAAAACACAAAACGGATCTGCACACATACACACAATAGTCTGTACAAAAACACAGAAAAGTATCTGAACACACACAAACACACAAATGGCTCTGCACACACATACTCCAACAAAGTCACACACACAAATATATCTCTATAGATAGACACGGACTTTCATAACTACTACGAAGTCTATAATGCGCCAACAGCTCATTTACCGCACACACAACTACGCTTCTGTCTTTAGAATGAGACACTCACAGAAAGATAATTGCGCGCCTAATGGAGCAATGCGCGCACATCTATTCACACCTGTATCGCGCGCGCACAAATTTAGATCTCTGCTCCTTTATCACACATGCACGCCTACATCCCCAGAAGTAAATTTCTGGCGGTACACACGGGCTTGTACTGAAATAACATAGGACACTGGTTTGCTCTCAATTTACTGTGTTTAGAGAAACCGGATCATTTTCTTCCCCCAACGCCCCCTCCCCCCAACAGCAACAGGAGCTCCCTTGCAAACTCGATATTTGTAATTCTCCCAGCTCCTGCAGGGCCAAGAAGAGGCAAGGACTTGGCGCAAGGCGGAGCGGAAAAACGCACAGGGAACATAGCAACGTTCTGCCTGCGGCACCAAGTCGGGAAGAGGAGAATTAAGCTGTTTATTGCGGAGTGGAAAATAATAACAACAAACAAAGAAATCAGCGTATTTCCCTGACAATGGAGATATCATGGATTTGTTAAAAATATGAGAAACACCGCAGGGGAGAAGAAAGGTCCTTAGATTGATGGTGAAATGAATGTGTTTGGCTTCTTTTCTCCCGGCTACTTTTCTCCTCCTTCCACAGCCACCAAGTGCAGGGCCAGACTCAATTTTTTGGTGTTGTCCTTTTTCTGTGAGCTGTGCAAAGGTAGTGCCGGGAGAGACCCCCCCTCCCTCGAAGTGCCCATCACCGTGCGCCTCCGGAGACCGGGGCAGGGAGTGAAGGAGCAAAGTCGGATTTTTTTTTTAAGTTTGTCCACTTTCCCTGTTTGTGAGCTAGCAAATTCCGCTCCCCCCTTTTACACACACACACACACACACACACACACGTTGGACCATCCAGAGAAAAAGACCATTTCGAGCTCTTCCCCTCCCTCTCCCCGCCGGGGCCACCCCTGCGATCCATCGCGGCTCCTCCATCCCCTTTCGCCTCCCAGCTCTTCTACTACTCGGGCCCTGCATCGTTTCACAGCCTTAGAAAGCAGGGTTCACACGGCCTTCCCGCGAGGACCCACGATTCGGAGCCGGGAGATGCACCCCATAGCGGCACGGCGGCGAGGCACCGCGC